AGAGTGTCATTACTATCAGTACAAGGTTTCACAGATAAAGACAATTCTAGAAAAGAGAAAATGCATTTAAAAAAAATTTCTCTGCTTGTTTAGTTTTGTCATTTAGGGATTATGTTCACTATTAACTACATATAGAAATAGTTTAGTCAGTTCACACAATCTGGCCAGTATCTTGAAGTAAAAGAGAACTCTTCATATAAATCTTACAAACAATATAGCTGATTTCTAAAATGGTATAGGGACCTGAAAACTGCTATTAAAACTGTGACTGTAAGAGTTTGCATGTCTTTTGAATTTATAGAATGATTTCTCTCTTAATTTACATGAATGATACAAAGTTTTTTCTTTTTAAAAGTTAGCAATCACTATAATTAAATATTAAAACAAAAACCTAGATAAATAGATACCTTTGCCAATTTTTTTTTAGAGGTTTTTACTATAGGGCGCGTGCGCTTGCCAGACAGACAGAGAGAGACAGAGAGACAGAAAGCAAAAAATCACTCCCCAGGGGGGATGGCCACGCTGCAATCCCTTCTCCTCCATTCTCCTCTCGGGATCTTGGGCATGCACACACATGCGCCCAGCATGAGTTTTAAGCCACAGAGTCCGGGTCATGAACTGTGGTTGACTACGTGGGAGTCCAGCGACATAGCCATTATGCCAACTGCTGGTCCCACCTTTGCCAATTTTTATAAAATCTTGAGAGAGAGAAAAAGAGAGAAACTCCTCAATGGAGTCTCATCATTCTGAGATTATACTTCTAAGACTATCCCCTCTCCAAACTTTCCTGCCAGCTAGGAGCACGCCATGTTGGCATGCTCAATCCCCAGTCTTAGACATGACTCCCAATTTCCAAAATGGTGCCTTACCATCTGCACTACTGTGGCTGGGCCCCTTTGATTTTTTAGAGAGGATTTTAGCTTTATATATATGATCATTACTATGATATACGCAATTTCTTTTAGCTCTAAGATGTTGTGACTATGTTGCATGATTTTTAGATCTCTTCTTTGGTGTTCAAATTTACCACCCTATGACATGGATTTTGAATAATTGTCTTATTGCTGCCATTCTTGAGTCAGTAACATATGTTGCAGTGATTCTTAGACATTTTGTATAGTAGTACCCTTCAAAGTGAAAAAAAAAAAAACCAAAAAACATGGTACCTGACTTTTCCATATACACTCTGCATAAAACTGAAGTGAATTCAAGAACAATCTGAAATCTCTCCAAGTATTCAGGGCTAAGATCTTCTAATGGGTACCCAGTACAATAAAATTTAAAAAGAGCAAAAGTGTTGTATTTAAACAACTTTGGATATGATTTTTGCACTGCCTTACTAACACTGTACTTTTCAAATCGACTATGAACTTGTTAATGTTTAAAAGAGTACAAATGCCTAAAGTCTCACCCAAGGTATTCTGAATAAACTGTCTAGGTTGTATCTTGCACATTTTTCTCTTAAAAATTTACTAGTGAACTGGCCCTGAAGCCTGGTGGTTAAGAGGAGTTGGATCTCACATGACTGACCACAGTTTGAGTCAGGCCCTGGTGGTTTGAGAAACACGCCAGATGTGTGTGTGTGTGTGCACGTGCATGCCCTCAAGTCCTGACAGGATGGAGAAATGGAGGAGAAAAGATTGCAGTGTGACCATACCCCCATTTGGAGGTGCTTTCTCCCTATTCCCTTCTCTTTGTGTCTCGGGTGAGCACATCCACAGACTAAACCCACTTCCCCCAAACAAAACAAAACAAAACTCACTAGTTTTTTGTTATAAATCTGAGATTTAGAAATAAACCTCAAATAAATTCTTTACATTGAACTTCAATTTCCTTTTGTGAGAGGTGGGGCTTAGTATTAACCCTCAAAGAGGGTTGATGGAGATATTAATAAGAAAATTGATGTAAATCTTCAAGTGTAGTGTCTGGTATATTGTTGGTGATAAATGTTGACTTCTTTTTTTCCTTCTTTCCAATTGACTCTAGTAGCTAGTCCTATCAATCCTAAATTTAAAAAATTCTTTTTTTTTCTAGCTTCGATAAAAGAAAGATGAAGAACGATTCAATGCAAATAGAATTCATCCTTTTGGGTCTGACAGATGACCCCATCTTGCAGATTGTAATTTTCTTCTTTTTATTTTTTACCTACATGTTGAGTGTGACAGGAAATCTAACTATTATCATCCTCACTTTGCTGGATTCACGCCTTATGACACCAATGTATTTCTTCCTACGGAACTTCTCCTTTTTAGAAATCTCATTCACAACTGTCTGTATTCCAAGGTTTCTAGTGAGCCTTGTGACAAAAGATAGAACTATTTCCTATATGAGTTGCATGATTCAGTTATTTTTTTTCATCTTTTTGGGGGTAACTGAATTTTACCTTCTGGCTGCTATGTCTTATGACCGCTATGTAGCTATATGTAAACCTCTGCATTATATCACCATCATGAGTAATAAAGTTTGCTACCAACTTGTACTCAGCTCTTGGGTAACTGGATTCCTGATTATCTTTCCTCCAGTAATTTTAGGACTCAAGTTGGAATTCTGTGCTTCTAATGTCATTGACCATTTTATTTGTGATTCTTCGCCCATCCTGCAAATCTCTTGCTCGGATACACATTTTCTAGAGCTAATGTCTTTTTTCTTAGCTGTTTTTACACTCATGGTCACACTGATGTTAGTGATTCTCTCCTATGGGTGTATCATCAGGACAATTCTCAAATTCCCATCTGCTCAGCAAAGAACAAAAGCCTTCTCCACCTGTTCTTCTCACATGATTGTGGTTTCCATTTCTTATGGCAGCTGCATCTTTATGTACATAAAGCCATCAGCAAATGATAGAGTGACTTTAAGCAAAGGGGTAGCTGTGCTCAATACGTCAGTGGCCCCCTTATTAAACCCCTTCATTTATACCCTAAGGAATCAGCAAGTGAGACAAGCCTTCAAAGACATGGTTCAGAAAGTTTTATTTGTTTTAAAAAAATGAGAACATTTCAATAATTATGAAAGGGAAATGAACAAAAATTCTGTCTTCTGTCATCTGCTTTTTTTTTTTGGATTTGTATATCTGAATCTCTAAGTGGCAATTCCATATTTTAAATCTTGGTTTGCTTTTTCTTACTCTGTGGGTATTTTCAGATTATATTAGCAAAATCAACCCACTTTATGCCTCCTTCCATGCTATCTTTCCTGGCTGGAAATTGAACAAACCGATTCCATTATCCATTTCAGAAATGCAGTATTTTGAATGTTATATTTTTTTGTAGATCATATTGATTTAAACAAATATTTTCAGTGAAGATCTGTGTGAGCTACACTTAGAAGCTTTTCCAGAATTTTACATTTAAGAGATATCATAAGATTAGTTAGTTTAGAAACATTTAAACAACAATGGATATAGCATTATGCTCTGGAATATTATTTGTCATAAATGTTATTTATTAATATGTGAAAAGATTTTAAAAGGGCTTACACATTGATGTTTATTGCGCATTATTCACAATTGCTGAGACATGGAACCAACCCAAAAACCCACGAGCAGATGAATAGATTGAAAAAGTGTGGCACATATACTCTATGGAATACTACTCAGTCATAAAAACCAACAAGACTCTGGCTTTTGACAGAAAGTGGATGAATATGGAAGATTTACTGCTGAGTGAAGCAAGTCAGGCTATGAAGGAGTGACATTGTATGTCTCCACTTAATATATACTGACGGCTTGTATCCTATGGCCATGACTTTTTGCATTCTATAGCCAAAACTGAATGACTAGAAGATATAGAAACATAGCAAATGATTGTAAATACCAGATACAGTGTGGGAAAATGGCAGGTGAAGGAGGAAAGTTTGAGGAGGGACATTGGGGAGAGAAATGGAGGGTTGGGGCATTTGTGGGACAGAGAGATGGGTTATTGTCTGTTGAGGATGATGTGTATAGTATTTCCAACTGGATTGGTAAGAAATGTATACATGTTGGAATATTCACTTTGTAAGCTAAGTGACATATGTGATTGAATGTATTAAAGAAATAAAAATAAAAATAAAAAATGATCTTACAAATTATAAAGTAAGTCAAAGTAAAATTTAATGTACAAGAATTTATTTTACAAAATACTTTATAATTCAGTAAGATAAGAATACACTTCTGAGACCAATTGGTGGCATGGTGGCTAAGGTGGCTGAATTCCATATGGTTGACTGTGCAGTTCAGTTCTGGACCTAAGGTTTGACAAGCAAGCCAGACATGTATGCCTGTGTACTCCAAATCCCATGAGGAGGGAGAAACAAGGAAGGGATTGCAGAGTCATCATCTCACCATCCCCCATGGAGAATACTGTCTCAGTTTCCCTCTCTCTCTTCCTCTCCCCACAGTGAGCACATGTGCCCACTGAAAAATTAAGAAGAATTTTGATTCTTATATGATAAAAAGAATAAATAATAAAATTCTATATGCTCTAACTGATTTGTTTTACAATTAAAATTTTAAAATTTAAAATTTCAGAGAGAAGTAATTGTAAGTGAATTGAATTATAATGTAAGTACCTGGTTTATTACCATATTTTAAAACCAAGGTATATTCTATCTCTTTCATAAAATTTCTTTGATTAAACAGTTATTTCTGTATAAAGCATTCTTTTTAAAATATAACAAACACTTTCCCAATAAGTAAGTTTGAAAAAATATAATACCAGGGGCCAGCGGGTGAGGCAGTATTAACACAGAGCTCTGCAGTGCTAGATGGGATACATGAGAAGGTCCTGGATGGGTGTCCTGAGACCTTCTCTTACACATCGGATGTGTGTGTGTTCCTGTGATATGGGCTGTCTGAGGTCTGAGGTTGGGGGTGCGTTGTGCCATGAAGAGCCCATTGGTAGTGCCTCTCTTTCTCTTGGGAGAAATAAATAAATACACTTAAAAAATTAATGCTAAGTTGCAATGAGTATTCTGGTTCAGTTAGCTGAACTTTTATTGATGCTGATAATGACAATGATATACACTAAATCCTCAGAAAGGTTGGTGTGATTAAGCCAGTGGACTTTAACATGAAGTATAACTATTAACCAATATATATATATATATATATATAGTGAGAACCAAAATAGGAACACATTAATGACACTTTCATGAGATAAATAAGGACGGTTATAAATTATTGAAGGGAAAGTTGAAGTTCTCAATAGAATTTTATTCAAAATTCATATTGAGGAAAAATGTGATTAATTAAAGTAAATAGTAGCCATAGATTATGGCAGAAACAGTGTCAGAGAAGTTGAAAATTTTAGAACTCTGAAGTCAAACCATGACCAGAGGTAATGCTATCTATCCAAATGTTTTTATCTAGCAGAAACTTGAAAGTACACTGCACATTTTTGGTTTTAGGATGGGTTCTAAAATTAGACACCCTTTCTTAAAAGCAGGCTGAGAGTTTGAGAAATTCCTCAGTTTTCTCTAGCATCTTACTGGACTCACATTAGGAGGCTCTGGTAAAGGAGAATAGAGGACTAACACCAAGAAAAACCCAAGTTAGCCTTTTCTCAATGAGATTTAGTCTCAGATTACACAGTCGTTTTGTTGCTTTGTTCTCTTTTATTCTATATACTGATAATCTGATTTTTAAAAAGTTATTGTCTTTTTAAATAGTATAGTATCTAATTATAAAAATATAATTTATTATTGACATTGTACTAATAATGTCAAGGTTTGTAAATACATGATATTTTCTTTTATCTTTCTACAGTGTTTCTGATATAAATCTTTGTCAGCAGTGTTAGGCATTTTGGAGGATGTTCCTTTAAATTCATCTTGATGCCTTGTGATGCCTTGATCCCTTCAAATTGAATAAAACTATCATCAATACTCACTTTGCCTCTTTGTAAAAATAGTGTACTTTTCTAAACTTTGATGTCACCAACTATAAATTACTACTGTAGAACACTTGTAGGATTACTTTTAGGTTTATCAGTATCATACATTTCCAACAATTTTAAAATTTTATTTAATATAGAAATTTAGAAATACACATTTTTAAGAGTAAATATCAGCCATATCTTTTAAAAACTTTGTTCACAGATCAATGTCAGATGTTGCTTTTGTATTTTTATATTCATATAAAAATTTTCATTTTACATTGTCAGGGGTTTGAAATCACTGTATTGGAAGATTATGACATAACTAGTATTATCTAGGTGCTAGGCAAAGAGTATGCTAGAACTTGGCATGTAAAATGACAATCTTCATGCCATTTTCCCTGTAGATAGAATACGAAGAAGTAAACAGGAAAGTGCAGTTGGTAAGAGTTATGGTGACAGTGACAGTAGATGAGTGTGCGACCTTATCCAGAGTTGATGGTAATGTTGGTGGTGGAGTAATAAGATGAGGTCAGTGAAAGATTCTTGTGGGGATGTCATTTTGACAAAAGGAACTAAGTCAGACACAGAAATACAAATTTGCATGTTCTTATTCATATGTAGAAGTTAAACAAGGTTGATAATAATAGAAGCAGAGAATAGAATAGGAATTAACAGAGGCTGGGAAGAAGATGAGGGAAGAGAGGGTAAAAAGAGGTTGGTTGATAGGCACAAAAGTAGAGTTAGACAGGAGGATCAGTGTCTAGTGTACCGTGGCACAGTACGATGAGTATGGTTAATAATAATGTATTGTACATTTCAAAATAGCTAGAAAAGAGGGTTTCAAATGCTTCCAACACAAAGAAATGATGGTGTTTGAGGTGATGGCTTGCCCTAATTTGACCATTGCATGCTTTTCACATGTATCTATGTATCACACTGTAGCATACAAACATGTACAATTATTAAGTGTCAATTAAAGAAAAGCAAAAAAAAGAAAGAAAGAAAAGGAAAATAGAGAGCAGAAAGAGGTCGAGTAGTTGAAAATGAGGGGAAATATCTGCTTATAGACGCTACAGTGTGACTGTGTCTTGAAGCAAGAGAAAAAGAATGAAGAAAAATCTAATATTTTGGACTATGGAAATAGAAATGGGTCAAGAATTTAACAAGTAATTAAATGCAGCTATTTTTTGGGGATATCAATGGATGCATGTTTAGGGTTCTTGAAATGACTACAGTATTTCATGTTATAAAAGCAAATAATTTCATTGATATTAGTGCTCATATCATGTTCTGTCTGTTTTCTATTCACTGCATATTTGGCCTGCTGGTTGTTTATCAGTCCTGTAACCTTATTGGTTACCTTAGACTTGCTGCCATCACTTTGCTAGCTTAGACACCACATATTAAAATTTATTATTTCAGCATCCAGTTGGTGGTACATAGAAATTCAAGGCTCCTCTGAGATGCTGAAACCAGTTGTGGACGTCTTGGGTGCACTTACAGAGCGTCTCTGTACATGCCTTACGGGTGTGCCTTGGTATGCAGGCTGGCCAAAGCTGAGTGGATTAAGACATGAAGGCCCTGCTGAGGATGCCTGTCTCTGTAACTCTCTGTTTCTGTGTGTCTGTCTTTTCTGGAAAACATCAATTAATAAACTTGAAAAAAGATTGAACATTTCAGTTGGTATATCTCTATCAACTATGTGCTATGTAATTTCAATATAGGTTTAATTATGTAACAAGAATTACCAGTATATTTATACCTTCATTTTAACTTAATATACACTTGTGTTGAGAGAATTTATTTCCTGAATGGAAATAAATCTACTTAATAGAGTTTATGAATCTGCTGGTTTTAAAGTTTCTTCACTAGGCAAAGTTTTTTTGAGAATCCTAATTCTTTAAACTAATTCTATATTTTAAGATTAAATTTTAAGGATTAAAATTTTTTTATTCTTAATGCTTAGAAGTTGTATAGATTCTTTTTAAATACTATTTATTTCCTTATTGTTTTGAAAATGATGTGCACTATGTACCAATATTTTATGAGAAATCTAATCCTTTGAGCATTGGAAAGGCAAGGTTGAAAGTGAGATCATGCTCAACTTTCCTGAAGTAACTATTATTCTTTTTGTAGTAAATGCTATACTTCCCAAAAAGATGGTTAATGAGAAGAAACAAGGGTGACTTAAGCATGCCCACAATAAATTAGGAGATCCAGTCTCACAAAATGGGGTAAACACTGAAGACAATATGTATAGATATGGTGACTTTGACATTCCCCTATTTTTTAGAAAGCAATATAAATCTTTTGAACAAGTCATTAAAGGCTTGTTTCACTTGCTTGTTCCTCAGGGTATAAATAAATGGATTTAACATGGGGGAAATGGAAGTAGTGAGTATTGACACTCCCTTATTGATGGCCATTTCATCTTTTGCTGAAGGTTTGATATAGACAAAGATGCAGCTGCCATAGGTGATAGAAACCACAATAACATGGGAAGAACAGGTAGAAAAGGCTTTTGTCCTTTGCTGAGCAGAGGGGAATCTTAGAATAGTTCTGATGATATACATATAGGACAAAACCACACACACCAGAGTCATGATAAATGTCAATACAGAACAGACAATAATTATCTGCTCTATGAACCAGGTATCTGAGCATGAGATCTTCAGGATAGGATTAGCATCGCAGACAAAGTGGTCAATGATATTAAAGTCACAGAATTCCAGATTTAGTCCTAAGCTAAGTGGTGGGGACATGATGATCAAAGTAATCATCCAACAGGAGAAGATGAGCCTTTTGCAGACCCCATGGTTCATGATGGTCACATAATGCAGGGGTTTGCAGATGGCTACATAGCGATCATAGGACATGGTGGCCAGGAGGAAAAACTCTGTTATTCCAAACAGGTATGTAAAAAAGAGTTGGCATGCACAAGCATTGTAGGTAATGACCCTGTCTCCTGTTGATAGACTATACAGAAATCTAGGAATACAGGCAGAAGTGAATGAGATTTCCAAGAAGGAAAAATTTTGGAGAAAAAAATACATGGCGGTCTTAAGGTGGGAATCCACTAATGTGAGGAGGATGATGGTCAGGTTTCCACTTACACTCAACATGTAGGTGATAAGGAGAAATACAAAAATCAGAATCTTCAGATAGGGGTCATCTGTTAGTCCCAGGAGGATGAATCTGGTTAGTATTGTATGGTTTCTCATGACTAGTCTTGAATTCTGTTCAAGTCTTGAATTCTGTCCAATCTGTGCATGAAATGGAAAGAGATGAGATATGAGAAGAGAATATGGAAATGTTTTACAATGCATTTAATTTAGGAAAGTCAAGGAATGCATTTTACATATATTTTGCTATACTTGATAGTAAAATTTTTAAGAGTTTTTTGCCTTAAAGCATGTTCACTTGTCAGAGAACGAGAGACAGAGACAGTGACAGGGAAGGCGAAGAATCACCCTCCGGGAAGGATGGCCACACCTCAATTCCTTCTCCTCCATTCTCCTCCTGGAATCTTGGGCATGCATACACATATGTCTGGCATGATTTTCGAGCCACCGGGTCCATAATTTGAACTACAGTTGGCCACATGGTTGTTTAGCGATGTAACAGCTACACCATCTGCTGGCCCCAATAGCAAATATTTGAAGATAATTAATTTTCATCAGCTCTGTTGATATGTCATTTGATAGATTTGATAGATTTGAAACCTCTAACATTTTTGACCCAAATGATTGGTAAGACATATGTTTTGCATTACAATTCTGTGTACATGTGCACATGTGCATGCTAAACATATCTCTGAAACAAAAATTAAAAAAGATAGCTAACCCTTAAATGCCTTCCTCTTTAATGATATCTATTCTAATTTATCTTATTAAAAGTGAACACAAATATACTGAATTAATTAACAAGTAAACAAGATGATCATAACCTGTGGTTTGAAAATTAATTGAAATTTTTTTTTTGAGAGGTTTTCGCTATAGGGCGCGTGAACTTGCCAGACAGACAGAGAGAAACATAGAGACACAAAGCGAGAAATCACCCCCCAGGGGGGATGGTCACGCCGCAATCCCTTCTCCTCCATTCTCCTCTCGGGATCTTGGGCACACACGCACATGCGCCCAGCGTGAGTTTTAAGCCACTGGGTCTGGGACGCGAACCATGGTCGACTACGTGGGAGTCCAGCTACATAGCCATTATGCTAACTGCTGGTTCCCACTAATTGAAATTTTAAATAATCCTTTTAGTAATATGTATAAGCATAACATAATTTGATAGTTACATTTGAAAAAATCTACTCTATAATTTATTTTTTGTAATATATTTTTTCCTAACATTATACTTCTTTACCTGGAGGCAACAAAATCAATGAATTTAGGTGTCTTTATTCTTTCTTTCTTTTTTTTTTTTTTGAGAGTTTTTTGCTATAAGGTTTGTGAGCTTGCTAGAGAGACAGAGAGAGATAGAGAGACATAAAGCAAGAAGTCATCCCCTGTGGGGATGGTCATGCTGCAATCTCTTCTCTTCCATTCTCCACTCAGGATATTGGGCATTCATGCACACATGCCTGGCATGAGATTTAAAGCCATCAAGTTCAGTACTTGAACTGTGGTCAACTATGTGGGAGTCTAGCGATGTAACCATTATGCCATCTGCTGGTCTTGGTGCCTTTCATTTCTAAGATTTTTCTCCTTCTCACTGAATGAAATTTTATTGTGTCAGTATCTGCTTTAAGATTTATTTATTCAGAATACATTGAAAACACATGGGGACACCAACAGATGGTGTAATGGTTATGTCACTGGACTCCCATGAGGTCGACTGTGGTTTGAATCCTGGATCTGGAGGCTTAAAACTCACACCGGGCTTGTGTGGATGCATGCCCAAGATCCCGAGAGGAGAATGGAGAAGTAGTTGTGGTGTGGCCATCCCTTGGGGGGTGATTTCTCACTTTCTGTCTCTCTGTTTCTCTCTGTCTTTCCCATGAGCACATGTGCCCCAAAAAAAAAAAAACCTCTCAAACAAACAAACAAACAAACAAACAAACAAACAAAACATGGGAACTGGTTATAATTCAATAGATCTTTCTATATCTATCTGTCAAAACAGTTGAAAAGCTATTCACTGGTATGGCCAAAGATATACTTATCTGTGATAGATAATCCTCTCTAGGTCATCATCCCCTAAACCTTACCATGATCTCCTCAAGTTGTTTATGGCTTTACCTGATTTTCACTGTTTATCCACTTTGTTTCATAATGCAGAGATCTGACATATACTTATTTTACTAAAAAGTAAGAAAATGTGTTGTTGAGGCTAATACAGCCGAAGAATATTATCCTATGTTTTTATGATTCCAGTCTGGTATTTCTCTGATAGGAATGCTTATACATCTTGTTATCAAGTCACTAATGTTGTAATCAGCCCTGTACATTTAAAATACATTCTCCAGTCTCAATTTCATTCTTAACTTCCATACTAATTTTCTGTAACTCCTGATCTCAAATTTATTCCTCACTCTAGCATACGGCTCCTGAATACCATAGGGTGGGCGCCACCGTGCCGGCATACGGCTCCTGAATACAACACTCCACTGAAACTGCTCTTGGTGAGTTTACTTGTGATTTAAAGGTTAAATGAAGTGAAGCCATTTAGTTGAACTTTTTGTTGCATTTGATACTGTCAGTCATCCTTTCTTCCAATAATGTTCTAGGCACATTGCTTGCATGGTATCTAGGATTCTGAGGTCTGCTTTCTTTTCAGGTTTCTCCTTAATTGATTTCTTTTTTTACTCATCTTTGTAACACTATTTCTCAGATTTTTCTACTAACTCCTCTTCTCTGCTACACCATGTGTTTTTCCTGGACATTTCATTAAATGCCATAATTTCAATTTAGCATTCAAAATTGTATGATTTTAGAATGTGTTTCCAGACATGCTATTGCTGAATGTTGGACCTCTGTACATTTAAGTTTCACTCTCTATTCGTGAACACATTCAAAATGGAGTGCTCATCCCTATTACTTCTTGCCCTAGTTTGTTTTCTATACAGTACACCCCCCTCAAAAGGCAACCTTTATTTGCCCTATATGATGATTAATTTCAACTAATACCATTTCTTTTATTCAGTGTTATCTTGAAATTCCATTGGCATGGTAGGTACATTCACTTAATTTTGCTGTTACTCTGACTCTAACTTGGGGAGCTATGAGAGCGGCTCTAAAAACACACCATACTGTGTGGAAGTAACTTTAACTGACTACCTGTATGGAAAAAATTTTCTTTTAATTATTTGTGTTTCCCCCCCCTCTCTCTTACTCCATTCCATTCCCTGAATCTGATTTAAACCTGGCTGTTATTGACCTGTCCTTAAGGTTTAGGAATCCTCTCAGAGGTGATTCTTTCTGAATCTCCCTCAATTATTAAGACACCTTACACTTAGAAGATGCAAAAAAAAGTTGAAAACAAACAGGATTTTAAACTTGTTTAATGTAATAGCTACAGATATGAAGGAGTTTGAGATTTAGAGATAATTCTGGACGTTTACCCTCAAACCTATGTTAACTTGTAGTGTTTCTTATGTTGACTCAATTTAAAAACTTCTGTAACCTCTTATGGTTGCCCTATCTGACTCTAAATTTGGGGATACTTGCTTGCTTTTCTGTGTGGTGGAGGAACTGTTCTGAGTGGCCCTTAAGTCACACAATATACCTTGACAACCCAGTGAACACATACATGATACACACATTAAAGTAAAAGAGTGGTACCTGACTTAGCCCTGTATTTGGCAGAGAGATAACTTTCCTTTTATGATTCTCAATTATTATTTTTTAGATCACATTAAAGAAAGAGTTGAAGGATTCTTAAATCCTGGAATTGGTTGTTCCTCACCCCATTATCAACTACACTAATATCTGGTCAAATGATTTATCTCTCCAATCTTGTTCAAAGTCATCAACGAATTGAAAAACAGCCACACCATTTCTTATAGAGCCTCCATTTAATTGGTTATGTGAAGATTTCACTTGGTTGCATTAAAAATTTTGTTTCCTCTATCAGTGAGAGACAGTCTCCATCTACTCTATGCCCATTTCCCAGAATAAATCTTTCAGAGTTTACAGCCTCTATTTGAGAAAAGGCAGTGTGACCTTGTTTTATTGTTTAGGAAGAGCTGGGACACTCCCAAATATGTATCACAGAAATAACAATATATCAGTTAATTTTTTAAAAATTATTTATTTATTTTTTTATTTTTTGGAGAGGTTTTTGCTATAGGGCGTGTGTGCTAGCCAGAAAGACAAAGAGAGACAGAAAGATAGAAAGTGAGAAATCACCCCCCAGGGGGGATGGCTATGCCTCAATCCCTTCTCCTCCATTCTCCTCTCGGGATCTTGGGCATGCACGCACACGTGCCTGGCGTGAGTTTAAGCCACTGGGTCCGGGACGTGAACCACAGTCGGCTACATGGGAGTTCAGCGACATACTTATTATGCTAACAGCTGATTCCACAATATATCAGTTAAAATTGATTTACAATTGAGTAATAATTGATTAGATAATTTAAGTGCATTAAGGAATATACAGATATACTCAAGAGATCCAAGAGGATTATATACACAGCCCACCTAACTGTGGTTTCTTCAATCCCGAGGTAGCAGGTTTGTTCTTTACACAACTCGGGAAACTCTGAATCCTGTTCTTGCTCCTAAATACCTTGAAAAATAAATCTTATTTCTGTTTACTACTTTTGTCTTTTAGAAAATTAAACATTATAAAGAGAGCAAAGTTCTTAATTATAGTGGCAGATGATTTCCACCTTAGGGCTGATTCAGAAAGACCATATCATGGTTTTAGATAACCTGTTATTTATTGATGTACAAGCCTCATCCTATCTAAATTAGTTCAAAGTTATAAACTCTCCTTTTTTTGCCACAATTCAATGGACTAGTTTTATCTTTTAAATTTTGTCAAACGGTTTCTAAGAGAAAACATTATTTTCCAAATCTCTTAAGTATTATAGACATAAGCAGTTCAGTTGATGTTTGCATCAGCTTTTATGTGGATTTCTGCTGGCTGTAATTACGACTACTCACCTCACAGGCTGTTCTGTGATGACACTGATTTATCTGACCTTCATTCGCAAACGTGTCTCCTACCAAAGCATTAGTTTGATTTTGAAGGTTAAATGTTTATCACAGATCTAGGC